TACAAGATAAAAATGACAAATACTGTAAGCAGTGGTTAGGGTAAGGAAAGGTTTAGTTACCATGAACTAAACAGTTAATAAAACACGTTGTCTGGTTTCTAAATGTTGTTTTAATTTAGAAGGTTTCGTGCTCTTGTGAGTGCACCTCACTACTTATGACACACAGAGGCTTTAAAGGGCCATGAAACCCCCTCGTTTCAGCAGGGTGTTTTCACACCTCTACTTTGGAAAAATTCAGAAAAGTGGGCGTGTCCAGCATTGTTTAGGGGGGAGTGTCGGAGGAACTAAAGTGGGATGGTGTGGGAGTGTCTATTTGGGCACGCGCGAGTTTCAGTCAAAATACACACACATGAGAAAGTGATGGTGTTTAACCTACATGGACATGTGTAGTCGAATTATTTGCCAAATTATTAAATGTTGGACTTTAACAGCAGTTTGGCTCTTTCATTCAGGGAATTCATTCATGCCCCTCGCGACAAACGAGATATTTGATTCGAGGATTTGCTCTAAGCGTGTATTTTTCATGCAATGTTTGATACCGCACGGCGAATGAGAGAAAAAAAAAACTCTGCATTTCCCGGAAACTTAGATGCACACGGCAGGTAGCGTCAGAAAGCCGCGTGTGTTATTCCGGTCACTAAATGCGGTGCTATGTTAGCACTCAGTGCAATAGTTAACTTAATTCGATACGAACAAACTGAATAAACAAAGAGCACTGGTCGCTCACTTACCAAATCTGTAGAGACAGGACAATCACCAGCAACTAGAGCCGCGTCTTTATGAAGAGGAGACTAACGTTACAAGCGAATCCGGATTTCAGCGTTTGCAGATGAGAACAGCTCTCAGGTAAACAATGTTCCTCCTTAGACACGTAAGTTATTGTTGTCGAGCGTCGCGTACACCGTTAATCCACGCGTGATCCAGCTGAGGTCTCACAGAGAGAAAATGAAAACGAAACTTAATGGCAGCAAACTATAAAAGCAACACTTCACGCTTGTTTTGCCAACACAACGTGGCGTCTCTGTGGCGTAAACACGGTGACGCTAATGAATATTAATGAAGTTGCACAATAGAGCGCGCTGATTGGTTTGAACCAAGCCTTACTCATGCATTAATGCATCACACTGTAAGACGTAATAAGACTCACTCTGGCACAGACGCCCAGTCTGCACGCTGGAATACAACGCTATTATGTCATGACCGTGACGCAGCTTCAAAAATTCGTTTCAAACAGGAAGTACGAATTTGCTTGAAATAACGCAAAAACAACCAATTTACACTTTTTAGTGAAATATAGGTGTCCTAATAGTGTTTTTAGCAGTGTGGGACACATATACGACTGTCAACAGCTCAAAAAATGTGTTTTGGTGTTTCGTGACCCTTTAAGTCTTTTTTGCCATCAATATATGTAAATCCATGCTTTACATGTTTGGGGTCGTACTTGTGCTTTAACATATTTGTTGCTATAATTAAATGAAATTTCACATGTCAAACGGTAGGGTTGTCATGCAAGCATTTCAAAATAAAAGTAAATAAAACTTTTGTTGTTGTTTTGACCACACACTCCGCGACCCACTGAAATGGGTTGCAACCCACCAGTTGAGAAACACTGTTGTAGATATTTTATCAGTTCCCAGTTTGTGTAATGCTGTACACAAACTAGATTAAGTTTTTTTTCCCTAAGAAAAACATATATATTTTAAGTTAACATTTAATTAGTACCAAAATAGTTTTAGGATTTTAATTTGGTAGATTATAATTATCCTATTCAGATATTGCCATTAATTACAGTCATATACTGTATATGTATGCTTTTAAAGCACTCTCTTGCTCATTGAGGCTATATTTATTTATTCAGTCTTTTGGCTTAGTCTGTTTAATTATCAGGATTCGCCACAGTGGAATGAACCGCCAACTTATCGAGGATATGTTTTACACAGCAGATGCCCTTACAGTTGCAACCCTGTTCTGGGAAACACCCACACACTCACACATACAATATGGCCAATTTAGTTTATTCAATTCACCTATAGCGCATGTCGTTGAACTTGTGGGGTAAACCAGAGCACCTGGAGGAAACCCACACAAACACGGGGAGAATATGCAAACTCCACACAGTAATGCCAACTGACCCAGCCAGGGCTCAAACCAGCAACCTTCTTGCTGTAATGCGACGGTGCTAACCACTATGCTACCATGCTGCCCGGCTATATTTATTTGATAAAAAAAAGAATATTAAAGCCTTATGATATCTTCATATTGCTGTGTAAACCACTATGTCTAATCACATTAACATATTTTCTGTAACTATTGATCAGTTTTTAAAGGTTTAGTGATACTAAAAAAACACAGTTTCCACAAATTATATAAAGCAGCACTACTATTTTGAGCATTGATAATAATCTAAATTGTTTCTTGATCATTAAATCATCATATCGATTTCTGAAGGACCATTTAACACTAAAGAGTGGAGAAATTATGCTGAATATTTATCTTAAAATGACAGTAATAAACAACATCTTAAAATGATTACATGTAGAAAATAATATTTAAATAATATTTCAAACTGTTACTCTTTTAATCTATTCTGATCAAGTAAATTGGTGAGCAAAAGATATCTTTTAAAAAATTTTACCATACACAAACATTTGAACTGTTGTGTGTGTGAAGACAGAAGTTCATATACTGTAGGTATGAAGAGAGAAGAAGTTGATATAGGTTTGGAACAGCATGAGGGTGAGTAAATGATGACTTTTTTTCTCTTGGTCATTACTGAGTTATGTAATGTTCTGTTGTTGTAGTTGTTTGATTATTATTATTATTATTATTTATTTATTTATTTCTTTTGCACTGATGATTCCATCAACGTCCATTAAACAAAAACAAATTCCAAATGTTAATAGGTGAATAATTCATCTATACTAAAAAGTAATCTAAGTCTGAACATTTGCTTCTGCCTTTGAAGTGTTGGCACTTCAATAGTAACTTTATATTAATATTCTGAACCACTACCCTATACCATTAGTCTGCTATGAGGGAATGATGTCCAAAAGAAAGCAAAGTAAGAGAATAATTGTAACAAGTAAAGAATAATTATCAACAGGCATTGAATAAATAGAAACATTATGCATAACTCAAGTGGTTATTGCCCCTTGGATCATGGCCAGCTTGGTTGTGTGCATTGTTTATATTTAACTGGAACTAACTGGAGTCAATAATTCCGGTTATAGTACCTAAACACATTTCAAAAGTTCAATAAGGTTTGCTAACCTAAGAATTATTGCCAACCTTCAGTCATTTTGATGATTATTCCCTTGCTAATAATTTTAATAATAAATATTTTCCCGTTCGTGTGACTTTTGTTTGATTATTTTATTTTAGTGTGTTGACAATAGACATGCAAACACTGGCCACTTTATTAGGTACATCTCTAACTGCTTGTTAACACAAATTTATAATCAGACAATCACATGGCAGCAACTTAATGCATTTAGGACATGGTCAAGACGATCTGCTGCAGTTCAAACCGATTATCAGAACGGGAATTTAAGTGACTTTGAACATTGCATGATTGTTGGTGCCAGACAGGCTGGTCTAAGTATTTCAGAAACTGCTGATCTACTGGGATTTTCATGCACAACTCTAGGGTTTACAGAGAATGGTCCAAAAAAGAGAACATGTTCAAATTCTGTGGGTGCAAATTTCTTGTTGATGCCAGAGGTCAGAGGAGAATGGCCAGACTGGTTTGAGCTGATAGAAAGGCAACAACAATTTAATTAACCACTCGTTACAACTAAGGTATGCAGAAGAGCATTTCTGAACGCACAACACTTCCAACCTTGTGGCGAATGGACTACAGCAGCAGAAGACGACAAACTTTCTGCTGCAACATTCGGATGGTAGGGTCAGAACTTGGCATAAACAAAGCTTGGATCCATCCTGCCTCGTATCAATGGTTTAGGCTGCTGGTGGTGGCGTAATGGTGTGGGGGATATTTTCTTGGCAAACTTTGGGCCCATTAGTACCAACTGAGCATCGTGTCTCCACAGTCACCACATCTCAATCCAATCGAGCACCTTTGGGATGTGGTTGAACCAGAAATTTGCATCATGGATGTGCAGCAACTGCGTGATGCTATCATGACAATATGGTCCAATATTTTTGAGGAATTCCTCCAGCACCTTGTTGAATCTATGCTACGTAGGATTAAAGCAGATATGAAGGTAAAAGGGGTCCCACCCGGTAAGGTGTACCTATATGAAGTGGCCGGTGAATGTATAATAGATAACTTTTATGATGTTGATATACTTCCAGCTGAAATATATGGAATATATAATATAAATTTAATTTTAAGAGATAGGGCTTTATTTTATTTTATTTTTTGTAAGAAAGGCATGGTTAAGAATATTGTGGCCAAAGCCATCAAACTGACGTCAACAGAGACGAATCACCACTCCAAAGTGAAAGGAAATCCTCAGACTTTGATTTAGGAATCCAAAAACAAACATTTTTCCCCAAGTAGATTATTTGTTCACCTAAAGAATAACAATGCGCACTAGCAAAATCAACATTGTACTTTTAGATTTCACACCGTCTTTAAGCTTCTCTCCCTGATGTTTACATTTACTGAACACAAATAATCTCCTTTCACTTCTCCAGTGGCCTGCATTCATTCTGTCAGTTGACTCTGAAGCTTCAGGAAAAAAAGCCCTGTGTATTATATAACTGTCTCTGTAGGAAGGGAGGGGGGATGGAAATGCAGCCAAAAAAGAAATTCTCCCTGGATGAGTGTGTCTGAAACATCACATTATGTTTTTTTTTTCTCCCTCTACAACATCTAAGAGCAAGTAATGAGATGGAGGCTTTGCAAAATATGTACAAAACCCAGATGCTTTACATCAGTTAAGTCTGACATGACAACAAAATCCTCCTCTTTTAATGCCTCATTGGCCTTTTGTCCTCGCATTTGATTCTGCTGTTGCTTCAGCACACAGACACAGTACATTTAAAATCATTTATTTTAATTAAAATACAAATCACGGTCTCCTCAACACTGACCCGTCAGCCTAATTTGCTTAATCGAGTCCACTGAAAACAATTAACAGGCAGTGTGAGAGGGACTCGCTTTATTCACATTTAGTCCATGTGATTGTAAAAAGCCACGGGCCGTTTTATTCACACACAAAAAAGTCATAGCAAATATATTACACCTCAGTTAAAAAGAGCTCCTGAATATAAATAAATAAACTTTTTACATTATTTACATCGATATGTGGATTGCATAAATGTGGATCTTCTGATATGAAGGGTTGGACAATTCTGAAATGTCACTTTTTACTGAAGGAAAATATCACATGCTACAGTGGCCCCAAAAAACTACAGCAGGACATGTGAAATGAACATTGTTGTTGCATTAAATAAGAAAATATCATTTATTTAGGAAAGATAGTAAGATAATGCAATGAAATAAAACACTTGAATTGTTATTTAGGTAGATGAGACTGGGGAGTGTTTGAATGTAAAGTGTTTAACCAATCAGAAACGAGCTATATGGCGAAATTCAAATATGGAAATGATGTGTCCAATCATTTTTGTGATAAACTGTTAAATAATGGCTGAAATAGCGTTTCATTGTCATTCAGCAGATCAGGCATGTTGATATGAAAATCAAACAGGTACATATTTTGAACTGTACTTAATAATTAAGTGATCTTAAGTTTTTTAGTTGAATCAACTAAACTTTTTTAGCCATCTCAACTTAAATCAGTCAAACTGACTAGTAATATTACATCAAACGTTAGCCCCTTTCACACATACAGTCCTTAATCTATATGCGTGAACAGGTCCTCTTTGAAAATACTGGTTAATTCTGAAATTTTTCCGGAAAGAGAAGTTGTAACATTACTGGTAATTTGCTGGAATGCTGCGCTGTGTGAACACAGAAGGAAAATTGCCAGAAAGATCGCGTTCACGTTTAGAACAAAGTGACGTGAGACGTCTACTTCAGCCAATCAGAACATTCAGACTCATTCACATACGTGCTGTTTATGAAAATGAAAGCCTTTGAATATTTTTCCAGACACATTTAACTGCTAGTTTTTAGTCAGATAACATTTCCATGTTCCTTCTGAGTGCCAACTGTGTAAAAAATTACCACTAAAATGCTTATGGTAAACCATTATTTACTTTCAAGCTCTGCTTTAGTTGCTTGACACGTGTGCATGTGAAGTTAAGGAGTGCTCCAGTGAGCGCCAGCACACACACATATTATCACACATATTATCTCGACATGCAAAAGTGTTCCTCCATGTTTTCATCGAAGTTGTTCACAATACTTATCCATCCACAGAATTTGTAATGTAGTCAAATGTGTAAACATTTCACTGTGTTTACACAGCTACTGCCTATAGGTGTGTTTGGAACGAAGCAGCTGCATGAATGCTAAAGCTTTAAATCAAAGTAAAATCATGAACAAAAGCCATGAACAAAATCATGTGTACAAATACCAGCGCAGCCATTAAGAGCTCATTTCTGCCTAATGATGTCAGAATTTATTGGTATTTTGGATTGGATGCGTAAATGGTGAACAGCGCTTTTTTTTTTGGTAATTTTCTGGATATTTACCGGTATCACTGTGTGAAAGGGGTTATTGTATAACTAAAACAATTTTGATATTACCTGATTGACTTATTACATTAAGTAAAAGTAACACACAAACATTTGTTGTCATGACTTTTTGTCATAAAATTTTTAATAAATTATTATTGAATAATTATTAAATAATAATTCTTGTTTATTCACAGGGCTTTTATTAATTATTATTTTTTAAGTTATTATATAACAACTCTTTTTTGCTAACAAATGGTAAAACTTAATGGTTAGAAGGACAATGGTACAACATAAATCTTTAAAATTATGCATTATGTCATTGAATGACTCCTCTAGATGTGTTTGGCACATTTTATACTTTTTTCCTTAAGAAAAATTTATAAATAAATTAACAAATAAATAAAGCTGAATCAAATCCTTTTGAGTCATTTTAGCTTCAACTGACTTAAAACTAAAAAATAAAAATCTATTTTGTTTAATAAGTTATAATTGATTAACATCAACGTCATAACTTATTGATCATTGTGAACACATCATCAGTGTTTTTTTTTTTTTTTGCAGTGTTCTATATGCCTTTTGTTATATATACCCAGTTATATATACCTTCATATATATTTATTACATTGTAAATTAAACATTTTCCCTTTGCCATTACAATGACTCATTCTAAATGAATGACAGAGTTAAAGCATTTGATTCATGTTAACTTTGGCTTAAGTGGCACTCTTTGTGCTTCACTTGAATTGAGAGAAGTGTCACCATTTTATAATCTGCTATATTTTAAAACAGATATGGAAATATTAAATTAACATCCTTTTAAACACTCCCCGAGTCTGTTGTACTTTTTGGGGCCACCGTATAATACCAAGCAGACACAGCCAGTGAACAAGAGAGTAAAACACTTCAAATCACACAATAGGGCTCCATGGGTGTTTGTGTGGTCAGGCAACACGGCAGACAGGCTCTGAATCTCATTCTCAGCTCCTTGTTGAAGATGAAACAGATGATGGGATTGGCTCCGGCCTGGGCGAAAGTCAACCACACAGCCGCGGACAGGTACACCTGAGGAAGCGCGTTTCCCTTTACAAACACCCGGATGTAACACGACACGATGTAGGGCGCCCAGAAGAGCAGAAACGCCAGGGTGATCATGTAATACATCTTTCCTATCCGTTTCTCCATTTTGAACTCGTCCAGCACGAGCAGCCTCCTGTTAGCGTTGTGTGCCGCCTGCCTGATGCCCACTAACGTCGGCGGCGTCGGACCGCGTCCAAAGCCCGCGATCCAGTTGGCAGCGGCCTGTCCCGTCGCGCCCGGCCCGTGAAAGGTCCAGTTCTGGCTGATAGCCGGAACCAGCTGCGCCGGCTTCATTTTTCGGTGGTCGTAAACAAAACACAGCATTTTGACATACACGACGTGGGTCGTGGCCACGATCACGGCCAGCATGAGCATGAAGCCCAGCGTGTCGTTGGCTTTCACGTATCTGTGCTCGAATATGCACTGCTCTTCCTCCCGGATGAATTTGTAAGTCCCGACATCGAAGACCGGGGGAAATGCCATCGCGACCGAGAGCGTCCAAACCATACATATCACCGCGACGCATGTCCACAGCGTCATGCGTTTGGAGTAGAAGCGGTGGTGCGCGATGGCCATGTAGCGCGTTACGCTGACGCAGAACAGGAGGAACGCGATGTGGAAGCAGAACAGGACGGCCATGAAGGCGATGATCTTGCAGCTGATGTAGCTGTAGCTCCATACAGAGCCGCTGTTGATGGAGATCATCACGAACGGGAAGCACACAGCCGAGCGGATGATGTCTGCCACGCACAGGTCGAGGAGGAAGTAATATGGAGCCTTGTGGAGTGAGCTGTCTTTCAGCACCAGCACGGACAGCACGCTATTCCCGAGCAGGCTGATGCAGGTGATGAGACCCAAAGACGCCAGTTTGACCGCAGACGCAGTAATGGCATAATTCTGGAGCGAGGGGTTGCTTCCCCCTGGATCACTTGTGTTCGCCATCTGTGCAAGCACAACCCAGCCTGGGCTTTGTAATCCGACATTAAGCAGTCCTGGTCCCCCAGTTTGATGAACAAAATATTAGTCGATAACACTCAGTTGAGTTTTTTATATGACCGTACCTCTAGCCGTTTGGTGATCCAAGACATCGCGCGCATCGTTTCGGCGTCGTGCGGTTCTTGATTCTTCAAAAATGGAGCTGCTGAGTAATCCATGAAATGTCGAAGAAAAGGCACCCTAATAAACACGTATCCGTCTCCATTGATCTGAAAATCGCGGTCGTGTAGGCCGAAAACAACCCAAGACGTTTCATCAAAACACAAATAACAGCTTATACGCACGCGTCCAGTTTGTTGTGGAGATCGCGTCGAAGCACGTAGCCGTCTTGTCTGCGTTCTTGTTTTGGCGAAACCTCCGGTGACACAAACGGTGGGTCCGTCTTTATGGAGAACGGGGCGATACTGACATCGAGTCTACTGGCAGCGGCCGATAGGATGACGCCTTGCGACGCGTCGCGCCGCAACGGCTTGAGGCTGCATGTCTACAGTGAAGCTGCACGTCATCTTAAATCGTTTGCAAACGCCAGCCAATCAGCTGTAAGCTCGATGACTTCGGCAACGATTAAGTCGATGTAGCCTATATTCAGATGTATTATATTCTTTGTAATAAAGATTTATAAATAATTAAGTAGATTAATTTGCTAGAGATACATATGAATGGGCAATAAATTACATCCTATACAAATAGCAACCACCGAGCACATGCTGAAAAACACTGGCAGTATAGATGGCTTCTTTTTCATATTCTAGCTAATTGGATTGGCCTAACAAATGAGACATTACATTTTGAAGTATATGGACGTAAAATAATCAGCCAGGAAAATCGCCAGTATGGAGTCATTTAAGGTAAACGAGGCGCTGTCCGTGGTGCTGAAGAGTAACCATGACTGATCCCTGTCAATCAACCCACTGTTGACTAAATTACTCTGTCTGCAAATTGTGATTATAAAAAAAAAACAGTCTGAAGTCACACAATCACACAAAAGATAGTCTATATTTTGAACAAAAAAGCCTATGCATTGCCTTAAAAGATAGTACTTTCATTTCCATTTCATCACCAGTTAGTTTTGAGTTGAATAGCGTCCTCTAGTGTTTAGATATGATCATGCAATTAAGCAAACTTCTGTGGCACAACAGGAATAAAAAAAAAATTCTTTTGTGTTCAACAAAGAAAAGAAGAATATACAATTTTATAACAAGTGGAGGGTGGGTAAATGATATCAGAATAACAAAACAGAAAAAATAAGGTGAATTACCTCTTTTTGAACCATCGGAAAGCACCCTTTTCTACTACTAAAAAATGTATAAACTTGCAGATTTCCTTTATTAGATTTTTATTTGATTTGTTCTTTAATTTTGACTGAAGTGTGAATAAAGAGTTGTTCAACACATTTTATTGCATACTGAAGATAACCTAATGACCTTTCCAGTTCATATTGAATGTTACATACACTGAATGAATATATTTGTTTGATTGTAGCCTTACTAGTCACAGGGTCCTTTGGGATTGTGTGTCTTTGAGGTAAAATCAACTCAAGGTACAGTAGTAGAACTGTAGTTTTGGTCATTTTGACATTAGTTTTTCCTCTCCATATAAATGTGAACATGTAAAAGAATAAGCTCCTGTTGTGCAGCTGTGCTCAAAGAAAATCGAAAAAGAAAAATGAACAGCAAAGATGTTAATTTTGAAAATTGCTTTTATTGTGATGATGATTATTATTATTGTTCAGACATACATTGAAGTCTCTGACACTTCAAACGTATTAATTCTTACAGAAGATGAAGATTAATTATGTATTAATTAGGTGATTGTGTGTTTTCTATGACTAAGGTCAAAATTTATTTTTAATTATTATTTATATTTGGCTCCACCTAGTGGCAAATGTCCGAATGAACGGGATTTTTTGGCCAATTCACATTCAAATTGTTAGTTTATTCCGAAATATTGCTCATACACTCAAAACATATTTTTGTTGCAGCACGATTTTTGAGATTTCGTTGGGAAAACTTAATTATTTATGTTCAATCCACTTAAATTTGTAACAACTATTAAGTTTACTCAATTCCATCATGTTATCCCAACACAAATTGATTGTGTCAAACCCAACATTGTTTACAGTGTACACAGTTTTTAAAAACACAGTTTGATTAATGTAAGTTGAGATGACTAGAACATTTCATTTGATTCCACAAAATTTAAGACACTGCAATTTTTATAGTGTGACAAGCTTTTACCTGCTGGGTGGCCAAACTTTTTTCTTATTAAGGGCCAAAAACCAAATTTGATTGAGGGTGGTGCACGCCAAAAAATATTACTGCTGCTTGTTCAAACCACCTGTTTAAAATGAGCTGAAACAACACAACTCTTGTCTTTTCTTCAGCCAGTTTATTTGTTTTATGTGCAGTCCACTTAAATTTGTAAACCATTAAGTCAACTAAAGCATGAAGGAGACAACATGAAGGAGTTGTGTTGGTCCAACTACCTGTTTAGGGGATGTGTATTCCCAGCATAGGGAATCAAATGAAGAGAGGGAAATGTTGACAGTAAAAGTTACAGTATCTTACAGGTGTTTAAAGTTAAAAGAAAGAATTGTTAGAGTTTAATCTTCCCTTTAGTTTGAGGATTTAGAAGAGTTTCAGCTTTGAGTTTTGAGATTGCCACCTTGCAGAAGCACCCATGCTTTGGGTGTTGGCAGCTTGATTAGCAAAAATGCAGTCTGTTGCTTTCCTCAGTGAGCGATAACTGTCCTAACATGAGTTCTGAGATCAGTCTCAATCAACTGTATGTAGTAACTCATGAAATATGCTTAAAATGGCTCTTTTATTTCATTTAGGATAACTTGAAATTAAACTAAGAGACTTTGAACTGTACAGCACATACTAGACATACATTATATTAATGATAGTTAAAATACATAATAGTTAAATAAAAATAGTTATGAATTTAGACTTTTATTTAAATCATGTTGGACCAGCTCAATTGCATTTAATTGTGTAAATAGTTTTATTTTAGTTGGTGCTAAACAGTTTTATTGGATGGAAATCCTGCCCTCAATTAAAATGAGTTAATCTAATGAGTGTGAAAGTGTGGATGTTGTGGGGAAAAAAATATGTGTGTGGCAGCAATGCATCACTGTAACATTAAAGTTGCCATGAGTAACTTTCTAATTGATTTACTATTTAAAAATAACGAGAAAACATTGCTTTACATTAACTAATGCAGTATATATTTTTAACTGTATAATGAACTTATTGCAGTCCAGCTGCACCTATCACTGAAAAAAGTGTTGCATGCAGAACTGTTGCAAACAATTATAGTGTTAAATTTAAACAAACAAATTAAGTTTCATTATGTTCAACTCAATTTGTTTGTTTAAATTCAACACAAATAAATTGTTTACAACCACTTAACGTGAAAAAATTGAGTAAATCCAAGGAATCATCTTTGAAAATTATTTTTTCAGTTTTGCCTTGATTTGCTCACCAGTGTCTCCTGCATTGTCCTGTATCTGATGAGAGTCAGTATATGTCTTTAAAAAAAAATTGGATTAAATTACATTTCATTTCAGTTTGCAATTTTTACTGCTCAGGGATAAAAAAAACAAACAAACAAAAGGTTACATTAAATTAGTAATGACGATCTAAAAGAGCGTAGCCCTGCCCATCATTCTGACTTTCTTCTCAAATGAGATGGTGGGCCAAATCACAGGTTATCTTTGGCCCACAGGCCCTAGTTTGGGCATCTCTGCTTTAAAGTTATCAAACAAAAATGAATCACTGGTTTGAGCTGTATACTTTGTTGGATTATTAGAACTGGTTTTATTTCCTATTTATTAATACTGCTTTACAACATCCTGTATTGTATAAAACATTATTAAAGTTGACTTGCAAGCATGTAGTATTTAATTACAAACTATGCAAAGAGAAATATAAGGGCCAGAAAAAAAGCTACAGGGTGTGTGGAAAGTGCTATTTGATAAAATGTTTGGATTTACTTAGTAAAGATGTCACACAGGTTTTATATGTTGCATGATAATTTTAAATATTGAGATATTAAAAAGCATTGTTAAACTGCAACAGACAGTACAGTACATTATTCAATTTTATAAGTTAAACTTTTGGTTGTTTTCATTGCCCTGAACTTAATATGCAAAACGCAATGGCCTTTGTCCTCTTGATTCTTGTGAAGTATTGATAATATTAAAGTGATGGTATTGTTTAAAGGTCAGTAGTGAAAATATGTGAACCTGTCCCTCTTGTGTCATGTCAGAATGAGATGAAGCGCTTTTTGTTCCTGACACAATAGGCAAATATCAGCCATTGTTCGTCCGGCCCTGTGTGATTTTAGCTGCAGGGAGGGATATCACTCGCCAGCCAGATTTAAGAAGAACAGTCGTCGTGTTTCATCAGCTTAATTACCTAATTAACACAACTCTAATTACTCCCTTTTTGAGCATGAGTGCATTTTGAGAAGATGCTACATAATGAATAATAATCCTGAATTAATTTGATTTACAGTGTCATTTTATCACAACAAGACCAAACCCACAGGGCATCAACGTGACATTCTTGATTTCCTTTTTGAGAATGACAAAAAGAGGGCCACGTATACAATGAGCATTCATTTCAGCGGTAGTTCACTTTTTAGTGCTTAATTGGGTTATGTATGACAGTATGTAAATTCTTTCACAATTCCCAGTTACTTTATATAGGTACTGTATATAGTATGGAGGGTGTTACTGTGAGAGGAATAGAAAATAGAAAGGACACACACACACACACACACACACACACACACACACATACACACACACACACACACACAACCTTACATATTTTTTGGCATGTTTGACACTTTAATATTTCAGATAATAAAACAAATTTTTAAATAGGCCCAATGTGTTTTTTACATGCATTTTTTATTTCCCTTTGCTATTTGGGCTTATTGGAACCTAATAAGAATAAAACCCCAAGTATCATCTTTTGATTTGATGTACTTTTAGAGAAAAACGATATCCATATATGTGGACTCATGGTGTACATTTTATTACATAATTTACATAAAATTTACATTAAACAATTTTTCCAGACTGTTTTGTAATGCATATTTAACATAGATTTTTTTTCAAGTTTTGATTATCAGAGAGTAAAAACAAAATTATTTTCCCATTTTGAACCGTTAAAATAGTGTTTGAGACATTTCATATGCTGTAAAACAGTTGCAAAATGACACTGTGTGTCTGTAACAAAATATTAAACATTCCACATATTTTAAATAGCCACTTAAGAGCTAAAATTTGCTCTCCATGTATTTGGCCAATAAGCCCTAGGAGGTTAAATATGTCAAAGATAACACAAGTAAAAAAATAAAAATAAAAAAAACTACATAAACCTGCAAAAAAAGAAAAAAATGTTTGCCCTTAAAACTA